GGGGGGGGGTGTTAAGGGTTTACCTCAATATTACTTTGCTTAATTTATTTATTATTGCATTGCTAAAACCACACATGGGCTGATAAGTTATGTTTGGGTTGATCCCTGATCCTTTAATAAGTTTAGGCCTATGTGTTTATTTCTATACAAATAGAATAAGAAAGAAATAAGGGTTTGGATAGAAGTCTGAATCATGAATTATGAGAAAGTCATAAAAACTGATGAAATATTTTTATGACTTGAGTTTTGAGATAATCCAACATTTTATTTTATTTTCTGAAGTACTATTGGTAAAGAAGACTTTACATAGTACAACTTTTCAATAAAAATGATAAATCTACTGTCGACTTGTAATTTTTAAACATAATAAGTAAAAACAATTCCTTAAAAAACATGAAAAGATGTTTTGTTTCATCTTTAATCATTATTCAAATAAGTTCAGTTAAATCTTAAATTATATTCTAGATCTAAACAAATTTAATTAAGTTTAATTTTGTTTATTATAAATAAGATTGTATTTAACTTTGAGTTTAGGAAATTAAATATTTTATTATCTACGAAATATTAAACAACTTAAGGATAAATGAGGTTGATTAAAAATAAAAAGTTTTAACCCTATCCCTGCTGGGGTACTTGAAAACCAGGATACGCTGGGGGGGGGGGGTCAATTTGCCCCCCCCCCCCTCTAAATCCCATGTTTTATGTCCAAATATGACAAATGATACATCATTAGAAAGCTCTTGTGCTCTACTTTTATAATCTGCAAAAAAATTTGCAAATTTGCAAAAATTGAATTTTTTATCGCAAAATCCAGTTTTATAGTAAAAATGTTTGCAAAAAAAAATTTGTCCAAAAAATGACAAATCATACATTTTTGAAAAGCCCTTGACCATGCCATTTCAAATATGCAAAAAATTTTGTAAAATTTTAAATAACCTGATTTTTAAACAAGAAAAACTAATAATGTGCAAATTTCCTTTGACAGGTTGTTTGCAAAAAATTTGCAATTTTTTTTTCGCAAAACTTGTGCAATCCATTTCCTTATGTCATAGGCTTTCCAAAAAGCTAAGTGAAAGTGGGTCAAAACAAAGATTTAGTTTGTTACAGGCAAAAGCAGTCATTCAGGCAGTGTGCCTGAGGACTCAGGCAGTTATATCTATTAGAATTGAAAAATTATTAAATTCAAATAATAATAGGAGCAAACTTGAGTTTCTCAGGCTCCTCTGGGATATCGTTGTTTTGGTTGAGTATTTGTTGAATATGATGTATTTAATTCTACGAATCTTATACAAAATCTTATATATATACGTTTTGGTATAATTTTGACACAGTTTTATGTCAATTTCTCGAGACAGGAACATCAGATAGAACAATTAACAATTATATGTCTCAATCAACTCCTGAGATTTTCAGGTTTTAGCCTATACCCCCTTTCATTTTTCCTTTAAAGTGCCTTTAAGGAAGTTGTCATAATGTATTAAAAACACTCCATTAGACAGAAACCTAGGTCAAATTATGCCATATTACGGATACGACTTTGGGACCTCGTCCTCTATCTTTCATGTTATTCACAAGTTGGAGAGAATCAAATTATTGGAATACATATTTTGCAACTTTTTCCCAAAAGCTCTTCAAAAAGAGGAGTTATGATTAAAAACAAATAAGATGATTTCAATCTTATATGTTTTTTACTTCACTTTGACCTGCAATAGACAGAAGATAGTATTTTTGTTGACAATTGAGGTGGAAATTTATAAAGAATGAAATAGTTGAACTACTTCTCTAGTGTGGCCAAGAGGGTACTCAAGTCTGACGCATACCTTATTTAACTACTTTTTGTCATATATTTAATCTGAGCGGAAACATTTAAAACTGTAGATATCAAGATCAATGCCTTATCCCCTCTTTTAATTAATTTCAAGATTAATTTAATCATAAGTTTGTATTCTGAAAATTAAACTTAAAATTAAACTTATCAGAGTGTCGATTGGAGAGTCCAAACAACCAATAGAAACCGAGAGATTTTGAAATTATGCGCGCACTTTTAATAAGGAACTTTCATTGGTCGCAATCCAGCAGGGATATATAAAAGAAGAGCATCTAAAGTCTCCACAGTGGATACAGAGGTTTAGCATGATCTGGTATACATTTCTGAAGTTTTCAGATCTGTTTAGTTAAACTTTTTCAATCAACTAATCATGTCAAAATTAATTAAGTATATTTGGCAACTAGATCCGATACTTTTAGTTAGAAGAGCAGGGATTTTACTTCAAATTTTGCAGAGACCGGACAGCCCCCCGACCCACTAGTCTAGCAGTTGAATCTGGAAAAAAGCTGGCCCGCCCTGAACCTCAGGAAACCTTCCCAACACCTATGGAGGAACCAAGGAAAATATTGAAGGCCTGGTACCTGGGTAGTTTGCAGGTAAACCTTTCTTTTTAACTTTAAAATATGATTAAAAACAAAATGCAATGCCTAAAGCCCGTTGCAAAGGAATTAGGTCTTTGTCAAAAACTCTGGTTTTCTAATCCCTATATCTTTGCAACCCGATATCGTAGACTGTCGATTCAAACTATGATTTCTGTTAGATCAAACATTCTAAGTTTTAAATTTCAAAGTTTTACACCATCAGGTCGCAAGATATAGGGATCACATCACGGGGTGTCGACAAAAATTATATTTTTCATGTAAGAAAAAATTTCAAAAAAATATACTCATTATATAACTATCAGAAACAGCTTAGCATCTTCTGTAATTATATTTTGTCTTGTAAAGTTTTACCTGAGCTGAAAACTTTAGAATTGTGGATATCGAGATTAATGCGTGATCCTCTCTTTTTCTCAATATAGAGACTAATCTAATGTTATACTTGTATCCTGAAAAGTGTATAAAATTCAACCAATCAGAGTCGCGTATACGAAGCCGATAAATTTGAAATTTTGCGTACCATTTAAGATTAAATACAGAAATGGGAGGAACTCTCTGATTTAAAAAAACCGGTTTTTGATTTTTCTCTTCTATATCCAAGAAAGAGCAGTTTAAGAAGAAAATCAAAAGTGTGTCCATTGGATACTCAGATTAAGTAATTGGGTTTATGGATATCTCATTCTAAAGATTTCAGCTCAGTAGATAGACTTTTAAAGGGAAGCCTAATTTCAACCAACTCTCAATTCAAAGTTGTCAATGCTCTAGCCCAATTCACTAAGGTACCCTTATCAAGGATGAACTTGATATCAATGTTTTTAATTTTAAAAAGTGATTATTTCAAACGTCATTTTTCTACGTAATTGATCAGAACAAGATTTCAATGGTGTACCGTTGTAAATTGGACAGGTCCGAGGTTATAATGCAAGGAAAGTTAATTATTAAATAAGAAGATCAGCTGATTTATACAAAAACCTTTTTATTCTGATTAGTTTTCTAGAACTTCTTGTCTTACTTTTATAACTTGATATATTCTTATTTCTGCGGCCCAAGTAATTTTGTTTTTATCGATACTTTTTCTCCGCATCAGGCTTAGTGCCAACTACTGCCAATAATTCTCATTCTCATAGATCTTAAAGTTCTTTACAGCTGCAGTTTGTAAAATTTACAGGAAGAAACAGACAGTTCTCGAATAGGAAGACGACATTTAGACTCTATTGTCCAATGAACATGAGACACAGCAATTGTTTATAGAGCAAAGCAGGACCATTTCACTTTAAACGTGATTTTATAAGTAATAAGTAAAAATATTTGATTTGTATCAGATCAAATACACTTAATCCTTCCTTTAATGTCGTCTTCCTATTCCTCAGTTTTCTGCTTCTCATTGTACATAACAAAACACGCGCCAAAATTGGCAAAACTTTTTTATCTATGCAAATGAAACTGAACATTTGATGGGGTCTCCGAAAGTTATGATTCCGGTCAGTCTGCGCCGGGACAATAAAATAACGGAACATTTGATAGTAATTTTAATAGTAATATTAATATTCTAGGAAAAAGGACTCTGTGTCACTAAAATTAGCTTGCTACTATATTTAACATTCTGTTGATGATGCATTTATAGGACCCACTATAAGTGTAACATTCTAACAACGAAGCTTTATATACTATCAGGGGCGTATACAGGTTTTTGTCATGGAGGGGGGTCTTAGCACCTTTGATCCTTGAATGCCCTCCACATAGATTCATTCTGTTTATAAAAAGTCTCATCAATTTTTAAGACAGGGTCGACGTTGAAGTGTCTTTGGCTTTGTATTTACCGCTCTAACTCACTTATATGTTTCTATAGCCCTTTACATATACATTTTAGCACTGTATAACATTTAGCTTTGGTTTTCAAGAAGTAATAGGGAAATTTCTCATAGATTTTTGCTTGATAGCTTGCAACCTTCTAATCACAGGTCCCCCCTGTATACGCCTCTGCATACAAGGATGTGAACCAAACTAATCCGAATTTTACTTCCAAATTAATATATTTTCGACCTCCCTGTCTTTCACAAACATGGTTTAAATCCCACTAAATATTAAATTCATTCAATGGAAATTCAATCTGAATCTAGTTTAAAATTGATTTAAAGGAATCTGAAGATAATCTAGTTTAGGTTCGAGTTCCCCCTCCAAATATATCCAGTGGATAAATTACCCTCAAAACTTTTTGTCCTCGTTTCTTTTTCATCTTCCTCTCGAGAGTCTCTCACTCTTTAATCTTTACTTGATAAGTTTGTTTGTATTTCTTTAAAAGGTCAAGACGGATGAACCAATCGGCCGGACCTTACTTGACATGACCCATTAAAGGTTTCATATTTTTAAATTGACGGATTTGTCTCAAATTTTAATTGGGGAACTCGGGAGAACCATTGGAATTATCTTAACTTTTAGGCTTTGAGATTCCAAGTTGAGTGGAAAAACAGACAAAATCGTAGTTTGCTACCAAGCGCGGGTAAACGGCGTGAGTAATTATGAGAAGTGAGTAACCGCTGGGTCCTCAAGCTAGTATAATATATGTTAAGGTAACACAGCCTGGTGGGATACAATTAAATTATATATGTTAAGGTTACACAGCCAGGTGGGATGAATACAATTAACGCTGCTATACAAGAGCTGACAGAAACCGTACCTAGAGAACAGTGGAGAACAGCTGCAGTTGCAGTAGCGCCGAGTACAGTTCAGGTAGACAGCAAAACTTTAATTTTAACAGGACTAAACGGGTAGGTTTAAGTGACCCTCCATGGACACATGGCAATACCCGATTTACCACTGCACTCTTGAAACCTTTATCTAAAAAATGTCGTCTTTCTGACGCAAATATATAACATGGATAGTTAATTCATATTTGATTTGACAAACTTTCAAGGGTTCTGTAGTGAATCTAACAATGACGGGTCACTTATACATACCGATTCAGGAAAGTTTTTTTTATTTAAACAAAATTCTATTTTTGAATTTGTAAACATTTGTAAGAGTAGTTAGAGTGTTGGAAAGGGGGTGAATTATAATTATGTTTACATCTCCTTTAAGGAAAGATTTGAATTTGTAAACCAAAGTATTGGAGGGACTGGCTAAGGTTTGCCAATATCCTGGGAACTAATTACAGGCCCTAGACTAGACTAGACGTCGAATTTGTGCTCACACTCAGGATTTACAGATCTTTAAAAAGTTTAATATGTCTCAAATGAATCCGAAAGAAGTTTTCCATAAGGCTGCATACTCAGTTCAACTACCTTACAAAGCCGGTCACTCTCTTTAAATGTCATCGAACATTGAATTTGTAAAATCGATACAAAATAAAAACTATCCCCATCCCTACGTGTTCCCCCAGATTGATGAACCCTGTCCTCTGAAAACATCTACTAATTCTAAAGCAAACCAAACCACCAGATTAATTAAGTAAATTAGCGAGGAAATGGACTCAACCACAGGCTGGTTACTGCCTGGTAAACTAGGTTTAAAGGGACTGTGAGCGTAATTTCATGTAAATCTTCGTTCAAAGATGACAATGTCTGATTAACAAGAGTACCCTTGAAAGCTTTATCTGAATAATAATGTGGAAGATAATGTTGAGTATCAGGTTTTCCAGGTTTTAATTTTATTTGAATTGATTTTACTAGTTTGATTGAAAGGTTTTAACTCATACTTGATTATTGACAACGCTTTTGTGAATCAAGTACTGTCATCTTTGCATGGAGGGTCACTTGAAATTACGCTTTAAATCTCTACAAGGTTTAGAATTATTAAAATTGGATTTAAATCTGAGAAATGGTGTTAGATCCTGGCTGCGTCTATGCATGCAATTATTCTAATTCTCTAAGGATGCATAAATTTTATATCTTGAGGTTGAGAACTAGAGATTATACATAAATCATAAAATCTTATTTCAAGCAGTCTGCAGAACTTTGGAATGAATTTATTCAACTTTAATAAAGATCCGGATACAAGATCTGTTGTAAGTTAACTGACCCGGATTCTAGATCTGTTATAATTAAAACTGAACCGGATCCTAGATCACTTCTAAACAAAACGGATCCGGAGCATATATATTGTTATAAATATAACTGATCCGGATTCTAGATCTGTTTTAAGTATAACTGATCCGGATCATATATCTGTTACAAAAAAACTGATCCGGATCCTAGATCTGCCATGAATATAACTAATCCTATTTCTAAATCTGTTAAAAATAATTCGGATCCGGATCTTAGATCTGTTATAAACAAAACTGATCCTAATCCTGAAGGAAATATTTTCAGAAAACAAACTAATCTTTATCTTCTGTGTTCCATCTAATTGAGTTAATTCCTTTTGGATATCTCTAAAGCTCCAACCAATCAGAAGTTTGAAGAAAAAAGTCAGCTTTTTTAGATTTTTGTTTTGGTTTAAAAAATAAACCAAATTTCTCAAATTAAAGTTATGTTGGGTTCTAAATTTTAAAGATCTAAATATTTATTATTTGCTATAAATAGTAAATACATTTAAAAATCATATCGGGTTTTAATTATTTCAGAAAATTATAGCATATTATATGTTTTGAAGTTTTAAGATTCTCAACAAAGGCGGAATGATAAATTGAAGTTTTTAAAATTCGCTGTTTCATGCTCGGGGTCAAACACAGTTTCCGGTTCAGGTTCAGGTTCAGGTTNGTTCATGAAAAGGTTCAGGTTCAAGGCTAGGATCAGGTTCAGATTCGATGCTTAAGTGTCTATCATCTCCATCCACCTGAGGAATAGGAGATGAAGCAAGAGATTGAGATCTTGTTTTTCTTTTTCTCTGGGAGGTAGAAACCAAGTTTACTTTTCCTCTTGGATCTATCGCATCAGTCTTGGGATTTTTTCGGAGCTCTCCTTGGGGCTGGGGGGTTTTCAGGGCCCTCTCCTTTGTCAGAGATCTAAATTCTAAATTAAGTTATTTTTGGGAGGGAATGGGAAGGGGGAGGGGGTTGATAAGTCGAAGTTCTCGGTTCAGGTTTGGAAACTTGGGATTAGGGCTGGGCACGTACCGACTTTTTTGAAATCGTTCCGTTCCGTTCTAGAACGAGGGCCTTCAGCTAAATCGTTCCGTTCACGTTCCTCTTTTTTTATCCTTCCGTTCTCGTTCCGTTCCGTTCTGAGTAGAAGAACGGTATTCCCATTCCGTTCCGTTCTTGGCGTTCTTATTTGAAGAACGGTTGCATCCCTCTTGTTCTGTTCTTAATTAAGAACGTTTCCATCCCCCGTTCCGTTCTTAGTAACGGACAATTACATCAAAGACAAAAGTTTTATAGAAAAGAGTTGGTTAAAAAGTAAAAAAATTATAATTTTTTAATGAAAAGTTCCTCACGGCCGTAAATAATACTTTTAATTATATACTTTAAATTTAGGGTTAAAAGAATAAGCTTAGATAATTCTGAGCAATGTATAATTTTGTGAGAGCGGGGGGGAGGGGCGGGACTGCTAATATNAGTTCTGTTGGATTGGTGTTCAACTGGGCAGATAGTTCTGTTGGATTGGTGTTCAACTGGGCAGATAGTTCTGTTGGATTGGTGTTCAACTGGGCAGATAGTTCTGTTGGATTGGTGTTCAACTGGGCAGATAGTTCTGTTGGATTGGTGTTCAACTGGGCAGATAGTTCTGTTGGATTTATATAATTCCTTTAAACCTTTCTATAGAAAACAATTAAATGCATGAAAGGGAGAAGACTTTAATATTGAGGCAAGGGTATAATAATAGAGCAATGGTGCATATTAGAGCAAGGATATAATAATGGAGAAATGGTGCATATTGGAGCAAGGGTATAATAATGGAGAAATGGTGCATATTGTAGCAAGGGTATGTATGATAAGGGAGCAATGATGCAAATTGGAGCAATGGTGCATATTGGAGCAAGGGTATAACAATAGAGCAATGGTGCATAATTGAGCAAGGATATATATTGGAACAAGGGTATTATAATGGAGAAAGAATGTAAAATTGGAGCAAGGATATATGTTGGAGCAAGGGTATAATAATGGAGCAAGAGTGTATATTGGAGCAAGGATATATATTGGAACAAGGTATAATAATGGAACAATTGCATGATAATTGAGCAAGGGTATAATATTGGAGCAAGGGTATAATAATGGAGTAAGACTGTATATTAGTACAAGGATATATATTGGAACAAGGGTATAATAATGAAGCAAGGGTGTACAATTGGAGCAAGGATATATGTTGGAGCAAGTGTATAATATTGGAGCTTAAGGATATATTTTGTAGCAAGGGTATAATATTGTAGCAAGGGTATAATATTGTAGCAAGGGTATAATAATGGAGCAAGGGTATAATAATGGATCACGGGTATAATAATGGAGCAAGTGTACAATATTGGAGCAAGGGTATAATATTTTAGTAAGGGAATAAATTGGAGCAAGGGCATAATAATGGAGCAAGGGTATAATAATGGATCACGGGTATAATAATGGAGCAAGTGTACAATATTGGAGCAAGGGTATAATGGATATTTACTGGCTACCAAAAGATTTCCCATGCTATCAGAATTCTCTCTTTCTTTTTGTGCATCTGAAGTCGGGAACATCCAATTTTTTTAATTAACAGAAATTAAACACTAATTTTTTTATGTTTATGATTTAATATCTGCTTTACCCGATGTCGTAGACCTCTTGCTATTCTACTAGATCAAATTGTTAAAAGTTTAATATATCAGGTTGCTATGAAATAAGACAATTAAGACAAGTGTTTTGTTCCAATTCTCTGAAATGAAGTCTTTGTAAACTTCTCCTATTTGTATTGAAATTAATTCATAATTGTTTTTGTTTTAGGTTTCTTTTGTTGACGGGGTTGAACCTATTGAATGTCGAGTTAGATTTCTCTCCTTCCTGGGTATTGGCACAAATGTCCAGCAGGCTGCGTTCATCATGCATACAGCTCAGGTACACAAACATTAACAGAGGCAGAATTTAAAGAATTTGAACCACGTCACTGAACCGCCAATAACCTGTTCCCATTGAGCGCCGGCTCAAATCTCGAAAAACTTATTAATATTTCCATATGACCCAATCATGTTTGAACTGAGACGTATGCTTGATTGCTATAATCTATTCATTTCAGTTATTCATCCAGGGTACAACTAACCTGCAGGATATAGAATAGAGATTAAATTAATCTGCAGATTTGCAAAAGATCAAGATCATGAATTGATCTCGATATCCACAATTACAATAATTCCCAGCTCTTGTCAAATTAATCAAAAAACAACAAATTATTTTTTATCTTTTTTCAAAAACTAACAGTTCAGAGGTAGATAAACATCAACTGCTTAAATAAACCAAACAAATAATTTTACATTTCTTCTTCATTATAACTAAAAAGTGAGAGGAAGAAAACTCTGGAATAGGAAGACGATTTTCAGACTCGAATTATGTTCAATAAGATGAGACACAACAATGTGATTTAATAACTTACAACATGAAATACACTTAAATGTTGCTTTAATTTTATAGGATTATTCCACAGTTTTCTCACTCTATTTTATAGGATTATTCCACAGTTTTCTCACTCTATTTTATAGGATTATTCCACAGTTTTCTCACTCTATTTTATAGGATTATTCCACAGTTTTCTCACTCTATTTTATAGGATTATTCCACAGTTTTCTCACTCTATTTTATAGGATTATTCCACAGTTTTCTCACTCTATTTTAACAACAATTTTGATTATGTTTGAATATGTCAAATGTGTATGTAAGAAATTAAAAATTCTTCTTTTATCAATCAAAAAAATATGATTTTAAAATGTTTAGGACACGTTTATCTGTCACGTGTTCCACTGTGAACCAACTGCTGGACCACTGTGCAAGACTATAGAAGCTGCATGTAAACTCAGATATCAGAAATGTTTAGACGCCAGACCAATCCGACCTGATCAGAGCACTCCAACAAGAAACACAATAGGTACATTGATAACCAAAAAACTCTGGAATAGGAAGTCGACTTTGAGACTCAAGTTAAGACTTTGTGTAGTCCAATGAATATGAGACGTAGCCCTTGTGCAGTGTAAGCAGACCCATTTCACGCAATAATTGATTTAATAACTTACTGTAAAGCTATTTGTTTTGTAATCACATCTTAGGTGCACTTCATTATTGTTTTAATGTCGTCTTCCTATTTCACAGTTTTCTGGTTCTACACATGCATTTCACGAGGAGGGAATAATTCATTTGGTGAACTGTGCCGTTTTGCCTCATATAGCTAGAATATACGTGCACTGTATAAATTGCTCTAGCTGCTTAAAAGTCGGTACGGTACTTCAAATAAACTGGGTTTGGAGTGGATCGTCCTGGATTATATCCAAGTATTAGAACTTAGCGCTAAAATACACGCTACTTCAATAATTCATTATTTTCTTCCATTTAATTTTTATTGTTTGTTTTTTGTTAATTATAATAATAATAATGATTATCTCTTAAAGGAACTAAAAACGATATTTCAAGTGACCCTTCCCATGCAATGTTGGCAATGTCCGATTTACAACAGTTCCTTTAAAAGCTTTGTCTCATGAAGATAATTAGAAAGCAATGTCTATAATTTTGAAAAACTGATTTTTTAAATTGTGGTTTCTTTACACTATACTGCAGGAAAACATGTAGGAATTATCAGAATTTAACAATTTTAAATCTAGAAAAACGACAACATCTTCCACAATATTGATCAGATAAATGTTTAAAGGGTACCGTTGTTAATCGGGACTACCCTTTTTTGCATGGAGGGAAAAGTACGACGGTCTTTTTAAAAAGTAAATTTTTTATTACTTAAAGGGGATGGTGGAGTTGGCACATTTGATGTAGGGGGGGGGGGGGCCCTGCCTTCATTTTTGGTTCAAATCTTCCAATTTTTTGGGTGCACGCCTAATTAGTGATCGAAATTCCTAAAAAAAAATCAAATTGAATTTTAATGACCTCTAATGACCTCTAATGACCTCTAATGATTGTGGAATGATTTTTCAAAATATTTGATTCTTACATGGATATTGATTTTCAGGTATGTTCCCTTAACTCCCTGCCCCTCCAGGGCCCCCAGGCTTCCAGGAACAGAACTACTCAAGAAGTCAATATCAACCCCAGCCCTCCACTCACTTTTCGGGCTCATGGACTCCAAACCAAATATTCTCCCGTTCTTCTCAGAGACAGACCAATCCCCCATCGAGGAATCCAGCAGCGGGTCAGAGGAGTAGGGTTTCCAATCGGAATTCCGTTGCGTGGAATTTCGCGCAACTGTGCGGAATTGCACGCAACTGTTCTTGTATTGAGCGGAATTGCGTGGAAATTACAGGCATCGCAATTGCGCGCAAGTAAAATTCACTTGCACGTTAGAATCCCTTTAGAATAATGTGAACCCTCTAATCCAGTTTTTATATCTTGGATCAGCAGCTGAGCAGAAAAAGAAGATTAGCGACACATCTTCCACAAGATAGAATAACACTTCACGACCAAATAACAGTTAGATCTAGTGTAGATAAAGTGCCATCTATGTAAACTTATAACAAATGAATGTATCCCTTAGTTTTATTCTCTAAATACTCAAACATTCTAGTGATTTAATCTTGTTTAAGGAAATCTCTGTTTAAATCCGCTGTTTTTTGTTTGATAGATTTCTATTTATGAAACATCAAATGGGAATCAATATACCAAAAGATGCCGAATTAAATTTAGATTAATTTTTCACGAACTTGACACATTCCTTTCATAAATTTCTTATTACAAATTTTGCAGCACTTGGACAAAAGCGCTGAATGACGCTAACACTGCGCAGTTTATTTTAAGCCCCACGCCAGATCGTCTTTGCTGGTCTAAAAAAGAGAAATGAAGACTTTTTACCACATGCTTTTTACAAATTGATATGGATAAGTCGATTTATTTAGTGATCCAATTAAAAGTGATGCTTTGACAGTAAAACGTGGTAGCACTTGGCAGCCAGCTGGTCCCGCTTTAATTTTATAATTCGATTTAGCATTCGATGTCTTTGCGTGTCTTAGAGGAAATAATAAATTTGTTAAAGTAAGATGTAATCTCATGAATTAAATATTATTCACAAACCAATCTCAGAATTAAGCCAAAGTGTTCTCATCTTTATTTAAAAAATTCCTAATTTCGACAGAATTTTATCTGTGATATCAAGCTTTTAGTATTTTTTTTCCCTAGTGTAACCAGAAAACTGTGGAACAGGAAGACTCCTGTTAGGACTATAAATAACAATGAACATGAGACACAGCTCATTTGTGCAGTGTAAATAGACCCATTTCTCTGAGTCCGTGATTTGCCAAGTTACTATTAAAACTATTAGCTTTGTAACAATATCAAAAACACTTAATTATTACTTTAATTTCGTCATAACTTGAAAGTAAAAGTCGTCTTCCTATTCCACAGTTTTCTGGTTCTCACTGTACTTAGTTAAAACATAACTAACATATAAAAAAAAGTGAATAAAATATCAGAAGAAAAGTAAATTATCAAGAAGAAATTTTAAAAATTTTATACAATTGTATAATTTTATTTTTTCTTTGTGTACTTGATGTAAAATTAAATTTTAAAAACCTATATTTTACAAAGACCAAAAAATGTGAATGTTAAAAACTGTTAGTTTGTTATAAATTCATGCTAAACTATTTAACTAATTTTGTAAACATATATTTATAATTTATATTTAGGTATTTATTGTTCTAGTTAAAATGTTTTAATTGTTTAATATCGACATGTTTTAGAAAATTCAAAATTTCTTTTCAACCCTGTTTTTTCATATTGATAAAAATAATTTTAACCTTGTTAAAAAACGACTTGAACACATCTTCAGTACGATTTTTTGTACGGCAATGTTTGTAAACAGTACGATCTTGTGAACTGCAATGTTTGTAAACAGTCCGGATAAAAGCATGAAGTATTGTAGCGCTGCTTTTTTATTAGTTTCACCACTATTCACAGTTATTTAATAAAAGCTTAGAGGTAAATATTTGTTTATTTTTTGTTTGAGAGTTACGCGATGTTACGCATACAATGGGAACCAGACAATTCTGGAATAGCAAGACGACGTTTACTCTCGAGTTATCACTTCAAATAGTCCAATCGTGTAAGCAGATCTATTTCATTTAAAATATATATATATATATAGGGTGAGGTGAGGGTGGAATGTATAATTTATCCAAAAAAAAGGTGTGATTTGCGGCGCCTGGTGCAAAATTGTACCTTTTTTTGTGCAACTCTCCTGTATGTGTTTTTTCAATATTTTTTAAAAATTTATAATTTTTTTGATACTCCAATGGCCCAAAAGAAAATCCGCGAATCTTTTTTTTCTCTCAAAATCAAAAGTTCAGAAAAGCAAAAATGTGCATTCATATTATTTCTCTCTAAATCTAAAATTTTATTAAGATTGAATCACAGATTCAAAGAAAATTGGCAAAATTGTAATAAAAAATTCGCAATTTTCAGTTCTAGGCTAATTTTTAAGAAAAAGTTATTTAAATTCTCTAGTTCCTTTCTTCTTAGTATATTCTAAACTAATAAATAAACGCTGTTCAGTTGAAACCTTGAGAACCATTGAAAAACAAGTTTTCCGTAAAAACCAGAACTGAAATTTGCGAAATTTTCTAATTACAATTTTGCAAATTTTCTGAGATTCTGTGATTCAATCTTTTTAAAATTTTAGATTTCGATAGAAACAATTTATTTACACCTTTTTGTTTTTATGAACTTTTGATTTTGAAAGAAAAAAAGGTTCAAAGCTGTTAAAACCACGTGCTCGTAGGTCGGATGGGCAGTAGAGGGGATGGGCGTAGGTCCCAAAATACACCACCGTGTATTATATCTAACGAAAATGGAAAGGAGGTTAAATTGAAATTTTCTCCGCTAGATGTCTCTCAAGGAAATAGGTCAGGTTTGGTGCTTCTTTACCTTTATATGTTCAAATTAAGTAAACTTTATAAAACACAAATGCAGAAAAATAAATTTTATTTTTACTAATTTTTTTTCGCAGCATTTATTTCTGACCTGAACAACTGAAACATTACAACTTTTGTCTGTTTCTTTCCCGGGCTGAGAGAGCTGTATAGTGTAGTGTGTATTGCTTAGTTGATATTTTCACCGTTAGAGGTCTCAAATATATCATGAAAAATTGAGGCAAAGAACAAATATCACTTTCATTGAGATCTCAATTGTTTATTTACGCCACAAAATTCTCTTTTTTCACGATCATCAAAAAAATATACCTTAAATTTCAGTTTTCTTTGATTGTATGATTAAAAATGTTTTTATTATAATTGGAAGCTCTTCAATTTACAAACTTTATTCAAGTCTTCAATCTAAATAAGTCCGTGTCAGTATTGAGCTATACGGCATATTTATGTCCTCCCTGTAATTTTTCAGGGCCTAAATGAGTATTTACTCTTATATGTATAGAGCTTCTGACCGTATACCATGATTTACACACCCGGCGGATCAATGGAGAATGAATTAATAGTTTGGAGTTAGACTTTATACTCAGCCCAGATGCACTGAATCAACAGCAAATTTTTTTATCATTCTCTAGTTTAAGATTTGAAAAGTGTGAAAGCTCTGAGTTCTATATATATATATAGATATATATAGTTATATAGATATATATTGTTATAAAGATATATATAGTTTGATAATAAAGGGCAAGCGTCTCACTACAAACTAGACATAAAGGAGGAAGTTGAAATTATGTTAGGACTTGACCTTGACATTGTACCTCCTCCAGTTTTAATTTTACGCACAAGTCACACAAATCATTACTTTTAGTAAAAGTAAATTCAACATAAAGTCTTTAACCTTGTTGCACCGGCTAGTCCTGTCCATAGAGCTAGGTACAGTACAAACTGGGACTGGAAAGGTTGACTCGGCTCGGAAATTCAAATGTACTACGCGGCCAGTTAAGTATGAGAAAAGAAAACTTATCCGGTTCATCTGCTCAATAGCTCTTCAATATGAGGAGTCAGGATAGAAAACATTTACTTCAGCAGTTAACTCTAGTTTGATGTGATCTGAGATACATAAACTTATCTTCTCTACATTGTTTACTATATATAGCTCATTGATAATACAGCAGTAAGATATCAGTGCTGCACTTGAAGTTGAACGTATTAGTGAAGTTTACTCATTGTACAAATTAGATAAAGTTAGTTAATGAATTTTAACCATGAATCAAGTCCTGTTATTGAAGAAAGAAAGCTTTCAAAGACGACTTTTACTCCCTTTTTATTTTTACTTTATAATTTGGTTCGAAAAGGATTATTTAACATTTGTAAATATTCATAAAAACCTTAATATTTGTAAGTAGTTACACAAATAAGCCAATTTTTCAACAAAAACTGGCAAAAACGCGAGGCAGTAAATTGGATTAATCTGAGCTTGAGGGACATGTTTATACAATAATGTTTATAAAGAAAGTACTATTATAATAAAAGTATATTATTTATTTGGCTTTGTCAATATAAATAATGTTTTCATTTAATTCCCATCCTTTCATTTGGGACACCCTGAACACAAGATTATCTTAAAAGTAATGTTTTTTCTTTCTTTCATCAAAAGGTCTTTTCTTTCAGTAATTATTAAGCTTTTCAATCTACAGTGAGAACCAGAAAACAAATTGAATAGGAAGACGACTTTATAGGAATACTTAAGCGTATTACATACTGTTACAAAGCAAATAGTATTACTAAACACTTCTGAAATCACTAATTTAGTGAAATGGGTCTGTTTACACTGCACAATTGCTGTGTTTTATGCTCTTAAGGCTTTTAACCTGATTCTAAATGTCGTTTTCCTTTTTAAGATTTCAATGTTCCCGGGTACTGATACGGAACTACCTTTCCTTCATGGAACACTTGTAGTTCATGTACAGGAAGCAAAGGATCTACCAGATACAGATAGGTAACACAATTATACTTATTCATGGAACACTTGTAGTTCATGTACAGGAAATTGCAAAGATATAGAAATTAAAAAATTTGAGTTTGTGGCAAAGACTCAATTCCTTTATGTTGGCAACCCTTCAAAAAATAAATGAAGGAATTGTGACTAAACTTGTTTTTGTTTAAACTAGTGCCTGGTGGACCAGTAAAAAGAACGTAACTGATGCTTTTGCCAAGATAAGTATTCTCCCTGTTGGAACAACCCTGGCTAAAACTAAGGTAAGCTGTACCGTACTGTAAGTCGTACTGTACAATACTGTACAGTTTTGTACCGTACTGTACTGTAGCATGACAAGTACGCTGAAAGTGTAGTTTAAAATTAGTGATTGGTTGCAGAACATTATGTTCTGGCAAAAAACCAAATTAATTTGTTACAAAAAAGTTATTATTGCTGGGAAGTGAAAGCATTCTTTTAATCATATTTTTTCCAATATTTTAGAAAATTCATTGATTAATCCCGATTTTTCGATTCTATCAAGAAATATTTTCAGTTCTTCAAATTTTAATGACAGACTTTTTATGACAAAGGACATTTAATCCACTAAAATTTCTAATGTTTCATACGAAACTATTTTCACTTTGACATATTTCTAAGCTCAATGTTTGCAAAGAAATTGAGACTCATATTTGCTAAATCTAGATAAACATTGTAATTAGGAGTATATTGCTCAATATTTATTAAGGGAACCTATATCATTTTTACTGTTAACCTTTTTTATATACTGAGTTCAGCTAAACAATGAATTTAAAAGTAAATTTAATATTTTCCCAATCCAAGGTCGTTAATGATTCCATATTCCCAGCTTGGAATAAATAGTTTAATATATTCCTAGGTTGTTAATGATTCCCTATTCCGATGCAGCTTTGAATAAGTAGTTCAATGATTATCTATTCCCAGCATGGAATAAATAGTTTAATATATTCCTAGGTCGTTAATGATTCCCTATTCCCAGCTTGGAATGAAGAATTTAGTATTCCTGTTTGTCACAATGCGATCAACTTAAGGTAGATTTTGTGTACAATATAATAACAATATTAGTTAAATGATGCGATATGATAGTCTCATGGTCTCGGCAAAAAACCAGTTTTTGGGGGTAAATTAGAGAATATATGGGGTAATAATCGACGAATGCATAATCTACAATACTAATATTAAAGGGACTGTAAAGGAAAATGAAAGGGGGCATAGGATGAAACCTGAGAATCTCAGGCGTTAACCGATAAATATAAAACATCTATCTGATGTTCCTGTCTCGAGAAATTGATAAAAAACTGAGTCAAATTTATACGAAAGTTCATATATATGGAATTTTGTATAAAAGTTGTAGTATTAAACAGATCATATTCAACAAATATGCAACCAATCTGAAAACGACAATATCAAACAGGAGCCTGATAATTTCAGGTTTGCTCCTATTAAAATTTTAAAATTTTTATTTTGCATTTTTAATAGATATATAATTGATAATATTAATACATACAGTCCTAATAGTCCGTATTATGTCATCATGGAACTTCAGCCAATAGCATTGCAGTATCATTGTCATGTGATGCAGACGGAAATCACGTGAACAGCGAAATATGCCGAAGGCGGCCCACCCCCCCTAGTTTTGCCACTGGGAGATGCATCTATTTAATAACTTGCAATTTCAGAATCTATTTTACCATAATTTTCTATTATTTAAGGAAAAGCATCTGTACAAGTGATTCCATAATTTACATGCCCTCACATTATAAGACAAAAATGACTCTAAACATGATTTATATTGACGCTTAATTTAGATAGGGACATGTCTTATTCACCACGGTACCCTTTAAACATTTGTCTGATTATCAATGACGGAGATATCCCTGTTTTTCCAACTGAACATAGCTTATTTTCAATTATGATTAAGTAACATATGATTACAGGGTAGAGGTTTGTGACAGTGATTTCTGCTATGGCGGGGAACCAATCGGATATCTTGATATTCCGGCTATTCGTGAGTTTTTCATATTTTGATTATTCTTTTTTTTAAACAGTAATTTAAAATGATGCTATTTATGAGTATCTGATATATTAATGAGTTGTTGTTGTGATCTAGATACTGCAGGGTTATCCACAAACAACTTTAGAGATGACATGTAAGAAACTATTTCTAAGACAAGAGACCAATTTAATCATTAAACCAAGATATCTAAAAGAACGAGTTTCTTTCAGGTCGTCAATAAAGTCTTGTTCAACGTGAGTAACCTTGTAAATAGGAATAAATTTTTAGTTTTCACAAATACCAACAAATATATTTTTTTATAAATTAATTTTTACAATTTTATAAATCAAACAAGTTATAATCATATACAGGGTGTACCAATAAATATGGGAATAAAGTGACAAATACGAAATCGTCTTTGTTATGAATTAGCGTTGTATTACCTTATTTGCTAAAGTATATTTATGTAAACAGTAAAGGGCTGTTTTGTTTTTCTGCTAAACGTTGTATAGTATGTTTGTAACATTTCTGCAAGATAAACAGTGAAGAGGAACAACTGTACGGCTTTTGTATTGTGTACGGGAATTTCTCATTTTACGAAGTATAACACTAAGCAATCAAAATCAAATAGATTATTCAGTACCATCTATTTTATCAAAACATAAACAAAAAAATTCTTAACTCTAGCAGATTTCCTAGTATAGGCATCACCATGATAATTAAAAACATTATTTCCAAAGCCCATACTGTGACATACTGTATATCATAAAATAGATTGAAATGTTTTTACGTCTATTTTGCAGGACTGCTTGATGAGCCTGTTATAGATGAATGGTTTGATCTAGAGACTCCTGCAGGGGGGCAGGGATCTGTTAAAATAAAAGCAAGGTTGGGTTAAAGAGGAAAATATAAAGCTCTATGTAAATTTTATTTCTTTGATTTCCCTGTAGATATCAGCCATTTATTTCAAGTTAAAACGCAAAAAAAACATTTTTATGTTTATCTTTTTCATCATTTATCAAAATAATTACTTCTGAGTTCGTAGATTTTTCGAGTTTAAGGAATACCGTTAATAATACTTTCTTTTTGAATTTTTCAAAAAAAATTTTCAAAATGGACTCCAGGATTCAGATTGTATAAAAGTTGTCAAATAAAAAAAATTAATAGCAATAAAATACATAATCTTTGATATAAAAATACTTTCTTACAGTATTGTTGAAACGGAATAAGTGAATTTTTAAGTTCATGTAAAAAAACTGTTAAATGAATCCAAAAATAATAAGTTTTGTAAAATAGATTTATTTTTTGGGTTTCAAAGATAGAAGAAACAAAATCTCTTATCTTTGGCATTTGCAGTGCAGTGTTTAAACAAAGTTTTGTAATTTTAGATATTTTCAGAAATCATTTATAATTACATCTGGAACAGATATAGACGACATTTAGACTCAAGCTTTGACTTTAACTAGTCCATGGACATGAGACATGCAGCAATTGTGCAGTGTAAACAGACCAATTTCACTTGATAAGTAATTTAATAAGTTAATTTGCTTTGTAACAACATCCAATACACCTTTGGATTATTTTAACGTCGTTCTGCTATTTCAGTTTTCTGTTTCTCACTGTATCAACCACTTTTAATCAAATATCATGGCGCATGTAGATATAATAAAACTCACGGGCAGCCGTAGTACATTTGAATTTCCGAGCCGGGTCAACCTTTCCGGTTCCAGTTTGTAGCGTACCTAGCTTTATGGACATGACCAGCCGGTGCAACAAGGTTGACGTGGTCAGACTTTATGTTTCATATAGGTTGAATTTACTTTTACTAAAGGGACAGATGTGCGTGAACTGATAACTCGTACTTTTATTTAGCTTGAAGCCTAAAGATTGCTTTATTGAAGGCCATAAGAAGTTTTTACAAGAAAAAAACTATTTTCCGATCAGGTAAACATTTTTGTTTGTTTTTTAAAATTTACTTAATTTTTTTTTATTTAGGGAAAACAACAAGATGGTTTTATACCAGGATGCTGATACTCCTAAACTACCAATTTTTGAGGTAATTTAATAAAAATCTAAATATTTCGACAATTAAGATTTGTGTTTAGGGAGTTCTAAATCCTGATGGTTCGGAGTATACGCCAACAAGATGCTGGAGGGATTTATTCGATGCTATTGTAGCAGCAGAGAAAATTATATATATAGCAGGTACAGAAAATGTCGTCTTTATTTCTGTCGTCTTTTTTCTGTAATTTGTACATTTATTGATTGAAACTAGGTATTACAATGCTAATTCATAACAAAGACGATGTTGAATTCGTCACTGAATTCCCATGTTTTTGGGACACCCTGTATATACAGAGTTACCCACTAAGAAGGAGACTCTAACGACGACCTATAACTCTTAAAATATGTCGATCCCAAGGTTAAATTAAGTCTTCTACCTTGAATATAGTCTTTTAGCAATATAGCAAAGAAAGTAACAAGTTTAGAGTCGCAAGTATATTTATGAGTTTAAGAAAACAAACAGTATAAATTCTGTGCAGTCGTCTCTGAACTCTAAACTTGGGTAGCCCTGTACCTATTTGAATTTCAAAATAGATTTCATCTATTTTTATATTTTTATAATAAAGTTCCTATTTTTCTCAATAATTTTCCATCTATTTGATGTAATTTTCCATCAAATAGATACATTTAAATATATCTATTTAAATACTAAATACCTATCCGTAAAATACTAATTAAAACACTAAATATCTGTCAACGTTTTCTATCTATCTTTATTTACAGGGTTACCCACAAAAGATGCAACTTCAGAGACGACTGTGCGAAATTAACACTGTTTTTTTTTCTCTTACATTTAGGATTCTCTGTAACTGTAAATTTCTTTCTTTTCAAAATCATTAAAAATGCCATTTAAAGAGTGTATTATATACTTATATCATGCATGGGAAAATTCTTAATTAAACTTTGGAAACGTTTTCTTAAAACAGTTTCGTGTCGTATTCACAGTCTAATGATTAACCATAAATATTTGTTTCGAATACATGTTTTTGATTTGTCTAGGTGCGGGTTCTGTTGATGATCTGGAATGATCGAACTTCCGGTTATTTGTCACGTGGTGGGCAGATGGGGACTCATGATGAAATTACAGAGGAATACTTTGCGGATTCACAAGTCCAGGTTAGGATCATTAGGAATACCTCGCGGATTCACAAGTCCAGGTTAGGATCATTAGGGATACTTTGCGGATTCACAAGTCCAGGCTAGGATCATTAGGAATACTTTGCGGATTCACAAGTCTAGGTTGAGATCATTGGTAATACTTTGCTGATTCACAAGTCCAGGTTAGGAGCATTAGGAATACTTTGCTGATTCACAAGTCCAGGTTAGGATCATTAGGAATACTTTGCGGATACACAAGTCTAGGTTAAGATCATTAGGAATACTTTGCGGATTCACAAGTCCAGATCGAGATCACTTATGTTACAAATACACGTTCCAATCACCGGCTTATGTGACACGGGGCAAGTACCGACCCACCATAGGCCTAGTTTACCTCCCCCGCTATTGCTTGGTTAAGTGCATACCAGATAGAAAGAGAAGTTATTTTTGGGCAAAATTACTGGTATGGTTTTGTGACCTTGTAGCCTGTCTAATTTTAATTTTACGCTCACTGTATGAAAAAAGCTAACTTTTTGGATGCGTGTTAGAAATTCAAAACTTTTTCCTTCTCAGTAGCTCTTCAAAAAGATAGCAATAACCAATGTTATAATGCAAGGAAAGTTAATTGCAGTTGCGTATACTCTGCGAACATATTGAAACCAGTTCTCTCTGGCGGAATTTGTAAACAAGACTGGGTGCATCAGTACGTGTTCGTTTAAAATCTAAGAAGGTTAAAAGCATTAAATTTTGAACATTTTGATAATTCACATAATAGTTTCCGATGACGAGAATATTCTATTGATTTTTTATGTGCAAAGATGGATCCCATGTCAGGTCTCGACATCCGTTTATTGTTTACATAACCGCCCAGAGACAGTACACTGCAGTACAAAAGATGCGTACACCTCTAAAATAACTTTCCTTGCATTATAACCTTGGCTATGACAGGAAACAATCAAGATTCAAGATTTATGAAAATAAATGACTGGAATATATACCGTAACAAATTAAATACAACTTCCCCTTTGATTAAACTATGGCTTACAAAAATAACTATATTTAACCTTCATTCTCTTTTCAGGTTGCAAATGTACCAAGGAACGTTCTTCAGTGTAAATTTAATATTATTTTTAGCTTTAAAGAATTGAATCTTTGCCACTAATTCTGATTTTCTAATTCCTATAAATAAAACTCAATGTTGTAGATCTTAAAAATTAAAAAAATATGAATACAGTTATATCAAATAAATAATCTAAGTTTGAAATATCAAAGGTGTGTACACATCATCAGGTGGCAAAGTCATACGGATTAAAACATTTGAGTTTGTTACTAAGACTTAATTCTTTTATTAATCTTTAAGTTGCTTAAAGAAAGCCATGCACATTCAAATCAAAAGAAAAAAAATATGAAAAATGTTCTAAAGTTTGCATAAAAAATTTTATAAAAAAGAAAATTATAAATAGTTTTGTCAATTGTTTTTCTTCATTTTGTCTCATTTACAAATGTGTTCAAAATATTGTATTCTAAACAAAAATAAAATTTTCTTTTTTTCCATTTTTTGGAAATATTTATTTTTTTAAGCAAACTTTAACCTTATAAAGTTTAAAGTGTGGAAAGTTGAATGAAAAAAAATTTAGAAACAATTAACAAAACTTACTAAAAATGTGATTAACCTATTTTCTAATTAAAACTGAAAAATAACAGAGTGAGCGAGGGGGAACAGGTCGGAATAATGCAGGCGGAATTTGCAAAAACAAGTAAACTATAATCTTTTAAATAAAGCTCTTCGCTCATATATATATTATATATCACGGGCAGCCGTAGTACAGTTGAATTTCTGAGCCGGGTCAACCTTTCCGGTACCAGTTTGTACTGTACCTACTACCTAGCTCTATGGACAGGAATAGCCGGCGCAACAAGGTTGACGCGCTGTCTGACTTATGATTCATATAGGTTGAATTTACTTTTACTAAAGGGGCAGAGGTGCGTGATGAAGCTATTTTTTCTCAAAAAATTTTTTTTTTCAAAATTATTAAAAGCCACGCGTCGGGCAAAAGAAATATTTTCTTTTAAACATTTTAATTGGAATATCATTTCGAAATTATACAGATTATGATTAAAATATTTCACAAATATGGTTAATTTCAAACATTCTTTTCTTAGTTTTTAACAACATATTTGTGATATAAAAATAATTTTGATAAACCAAATATTCCGGATTCTTTAAACAGTTTATTTGATTTACATTTTTTTTTAATTCTTCATAAAACTTTTAATTTTTTTTTCTCCATAATTTCCAAATTAGTTTTAGAACAGATCTTGTTTTGCTTTGTTTTAATCCTTTAATTTTCTTTATGCACACAAATTTTTTTAGTTGAAATCAATATAAGTATATGTATACTGAATGGGAGGGAAAGAAAGTTTTTGTATGACGTACCGCTAGGTACTATATAGTTATATCAAAAAAAGGAATGGAAACAAAATTCGGAACTTTCCTAAAAGAAAGGCCGACATTTTTGTTTACTAGCGTTGTTTCATCCAGTCCGAGCCGGTACACCATGTACTACAGCGTAGTCCAGTCGTACTGTCCAATCTGGACTACCCAACGTAAACTCGACCCAGCTCGTTTTGTGCAACAAATGTAGCCTGGCAAAGATCACAGTGACTGTATACTATATATGCATTCATTCGTACTGTCCTGTCTGGACTACCCAGTGTATGATTCGACCCAGTATGTTTTTTGCAAGAAATATAGCCTGGGAAGATCACACTGGTTTATTTACTTGACCAACCTGTCTCAGTAAAATATTCGCTCCCCTCCCTTTTAAAAACTGTGATTTTTTTATATTCTAACTTCTCTTTTTCTCTGATTTGTTTTATCATAACTTCTGTTAAGTGTTCACCCATCATCAGAAGTTTGTTATAACAGACGCAGAAGATACAGAATCTGGGAAAAGGTATGTTTTATTTTACTGAAGGGAACTGCAAATATAAATGCTCGAAACAGGATTGGTAGATACACAGTTACAGGACAAATTATACAGTGTGATCAAGCATTACTGCAACAAAGTTTAACTTCAGAAATGGTTTAAAAGTCAATTAATATATGAACATTTTTACATTTTTTTTCAGTTTACAATAGAGCATTTACAAAAAAAGCGCTAAACATTAACATGCACCAAATGTTCGAAATGGCCACTATCAACTTTGACACATAATTCAGCTCTCTTCTTGAAGAGTTGATCGTTCCTGATGTGCTTTATTGTATGGATAGAGATGGATGGATGTAGTTGGCATTGCAAATTAATGATTTTTTTTACATATATTATAATGTTCTAAAGTAACGGATAGAAGAAAATTGCGAATTTTTAGATACATTTTCTGTGGATTTCTGAAGTCAGCCTTTGTTGCAGTAATACTTGATTAGACTGTGCTTTAGTTTAACAGAATTAGAAGAAAGTCTTTAAGTCATGGATTGATAGTTTGATTGACATTTTTTGAACTGCTAGAAATAAAAAAGGCCAGTCTATATAGATTGATGATTTGACAGACATATTTTAAATTGATAGAAATATGAAGATTGGTCAAGGGATGGTTTAGTAGTTCTTTATGGGACTGTTTACTGTACACATGTTTAAAATTTCCTTACATTCACAGAATGGCATATCAGATTCACAGTGGTACCCTTGAACCATTTTCTGAGCAAAGATGAATCCGATATTGTTTTGTTGAAGATTAAATACTTTTACTACTTTTGGGATCACATTAAAAAAGGTCTTCCATATTACTCTCTATAAGAAAGGTTTACTTAAACTTTTAGACTATAATATTCTAAATTTATTTTTCAATATAAAATCTTTATATAAATGTTCTAGACGTCTGGTGGCTTTCATTGGTGGTATTGACTTAACAGATGGAAGATTCGATGTAAGAAATAAACTAGAAATAAAGATATTTTGTTTAAATTTATTATTTTTTAATATTTAGAACCCTGAATATAATTTGTTTGATTATTCTAAAACACATTGGGAGGATTTCTATCAAAACTGTACTCCTGGAGCTACTCCTCAAACTGGTATAATTTATAACAACTCATAATGAACAAACTTATTTTAAGGAAAAAATATTTTCCAAAAACCCCTTTAAACAAAAATCATGAGAACATTTTGACCCAAAAAAAATTTCTCTCGTTAAAGTCATCGTCATACAAATCAATACAATGAAGACAATATTAAGGTTTAAATTTGATTTCTAACAAGTTAAAACATGGCATTTATGCACAAACAAGTTAAAACATGGCATTTATGCACAAACAAACTAAAACATGGCATTTATGCACAAACAAGTTAAAACATGGCATTTATGCACAAACAAACTAAAACATGGCATTTATGCACAAACAAACTAAAACATGGCATTTATGCACAAACAAACTAAAACATGGCATTTATGCACAAACAAACTAAAACATGGCATTTATGCACAAACAAACTAAAACATGGCATTTATGCACAAACAAACTAAAACATGGCATTTATGCACATGTCAAGGAAACAAAGTTATCAAATAACATTTATTCTAGTTTACTTGTAAACTTTTAGTTTGAAAAAGCCAGTAAACAATCAAAACTTGAATAAAAAATCTACTGTATTGTAGATAATCATTGTAGTTCATTAAATTTAGTCGTTTTAATATCCATATTTTATGCAATTCAGGGGGAAGAAAGTGAAATTTATAAAATACTTTTTGATCTGAAAGAATTTATTATTTTAAATATGCAAGTTCTACGCTACGACATATTTGGTTGAAAATATACAGATATTAAAAAATCAAAAATTGTGACAAAGACTCATGATTCCTTTTAAAAAATCACAATTTTCTTCTTTCAGGGAATCGGGGAGGAGGGTCACAAATAAACATATATAAACAAAAAACACAAATGGAATCAGTTATGGAGGGAGCTTCGTCTTAAACTCAGTTTGTTTGCCAACTAAATTAGAAATGAACAACGAAAAATAACTGAAAAAATATTCTACCATGCAATTCAGTCAACAATGGGTGAAGCTGAAAAGTCTGATTATATTTAAGCAAGTACAAAGGAATCGAGTTTTTGCCACAAACTCAAATGTTGTAATCCCTATATCTTTACAACCTGAAAGTGTAAGTCTTTGATTATTCATACTTGGATTACTTAATCTAACAGCATTCATAGTTTGAAATATCAATGGTCTAAACCATTGGGCTGCTAAGATTCAGGGATTATAAAGTTTGAGTTTGTGGCAAAAACTCAATTCCTTTAAAAGTAAAAAAAATTTAATTTTAATTATTAATTGGTAGGTCCACGTGAACCCTGGCATGATATACATGCTAGAGTAGAGGGTTCAATTGTTAAGGATATTCTTCATAATTTTACAGCTCGTTGGAGGAAACAGGCTTCTGATAAGGTGGGATCATTGTGTCTATCTATCTATTCATCTATCTATCTATCTATCTATCTATCTATTCTTCATAAATTTCATGCTCGTTCGTAGAAAAAGGCAGCAGGCAGAGGGGTGTAGAGAGGACAGAGGGGGGGGGGAAAGGGGGATTGATAAAATTGAATTGCAATTGGCAAGTTTCCTGGTTTAGTTACATTTTATGACATTTTTACCAATTTTTTCATTTATTTGCATCTCTACAAATTTGCATTTTGTGAGTTTTAATATCAAATCATGTTCCTGTTCAAGAAGTAAGACCAAAAGCCGGGCATTTTATATATTATTTTTGATAAAGTTTGAGGGGTTTACAGTTTTAAGTTAATTTAACTAATTTTAATTTAATAAAGGTATATGAAAAGATGTAAGGATTTGAAGATCAAAATTTGTTGCAAAAAATGCAAAAGAACTGTTTTTAAAAATTTGTAATAATTTCAAAAAGGGTTTCTGTCATTAAGAATTTACATGAATCAGCAAGATTGAAAAACAATTTATCCTGATTTTTGAATTATTTAAGGTTGGGAGTCTGTTTGAGATTTCAGATGATGAGTTTAATCTTGAATACTGTCCTCCAGTAGAGGATACAGACGGAGGTTACTGGAATATTCAACTACTCAGGTAATAAAATATATGAATGTACATGTATGCACATATCTTGAATACAGTCCTCCTCTAATAAAGCGAGGAAAGAAGGGTGTACAAATGATTGGAGTCTGGAAATCAGGATAAGCGTACCAAAATCAAAGAGAGCTAACTTCTTCATAATCTCTCTCATCTCTGCCTTAGATTAAGCCATTTCCGCCATCTGTCCGCCGGCGCCCCGTGCAGCTCAATTCTCTTTTCTCCCGTTATTCTGCCTGTCCCCCCTGCATTCTCATGAGATATGCCCCTCTTTTCCACAATTACAGTAGGACATTGTCCTTTTGTTGTTACTTCCGGTCTTCCTGTTTAGAGGCTTCTCCTTCCATTCTTCATACTTCCAGCAATCTCTCTTTTGATGTCTGGTCTTCTTGCAATATCATCTCAGCCTTCTCTTCATCATCTGACTAGTCCAATACCAGTCCAGGCAGAGCATTAACATCCATAGGGACTTGTTTTCACTTCGACATTTTATCAGACCTCGTGTTGTTTCCTGACTTTAGAAACTATATGTGCTCCTCAGGACTGCCATATCCTGTGAGGGAACCATTAGGTCTGTGTTGTAGGTCCTCAGGTTGACCAGCTGATGATCCAGAACAGCCTTAATTTAACTCTCGTGTAGTATATCTTTTGGCGTAATAAAGTGGCAGGTTTTCTTTAGTTCAGCATAATACAACCCAATAGCATTCTTGAACTCTACCAGGCTCCTCTTGGCTGGTGCATATGCTTGGACCCATTATCTCATCTTGTCCGTGTAATATTTCCAGGGATCTTCAAGTCTTCCCTGTTTCCGGGATACATATTCATGCTTTCTGCCTTCATCATCTTTCTCTTGCGAAAACTTCTTCAGCAATTCCGTCAAGAATTTGCTAATGCTAAACTTGAAGCTTGCAACAGCACTATCTCTTGTCTGGCTGACCCCGTGATGCAGGATAACAGCATTATCTTCACTTTATCATTGGGATTGTTTCCAAATGTGTCTTGTCTACAGTTTCTCACAACCCTCGAACACCATTTTGGGGCAGACTTTGTGAAATCTAATAGTCTCTTCTTATATCCAGCTGCAGCTCTGGTCCTGTCTGCACCCATCTGTAGAGTACCTCTTCTGCCTGTAATTATCTCTTGCAAGGGTTGTAAATATTCCTGTGTCTTATCCATTAACTTAGGCAGCTCCAGCATTGCTTTCACTCTGCAATTGGGTTGTGCGTTTCCGGTGTAGCATAGTTTTCCCATGTCTGTACATATCCCTTACTGCTCTGCTGCTGTTCTGTAGTTCTCAATTCCCCTTCAGGTATATTTTCCCTTGAGAGCGTTTCCCTTTCTATTCTGTTAAAAAATGATTTCACCGTACTCTTCTTTCTGAACTTTGGAGTTTCTGGCATTTAGCTTGGGTCTTACCGCTTTGTAGAAAATTATCTAAACTCGACTCTTTACTCCTTATCAGCTTAAATACGATGCTTCAATCTATCACAAACTCTGTCCTCTCAACCTATAAAGGTATATTCGATCCGTAAATAACAAGAGTCTGTGTTGAACTGTCTATATTTTTATATAAATAGGTTGCAGGTAAATAAGTTGACCGCAACTATAGGACAAGGAACTAAATGATGTATATTTACGGGTTACAAAGATATAAATGAAATAAGGTATTCTATTATATATATATAATATAGATATAGGAATTTGAAAATGATGGGTTTCATTTCCTTTGTTGTTTGTAGATCCATAACTGCAGATTCTTGCTACTTTGATGAGGATAGGATTGGGGCCTTGACTACTAAATCTGGAACATTGACTGAAGATTCCATTCTGGTAATAAATCAAAAAAATCCAGATTTCAGAAATAATTTTATATTTTTAATTTTAGAGGACCTATATTCAACAAATTCGTCTAGCTGACAACTTTATATATATTGGTATGGATTTATTAGATATTTTAATCATATGAAACTAATCTTTCAGAAAGACAATATTTTCTGCATTTAACATTTATTTTAAAGTTTATTAATATAAAGTTTATTTACCATTTTTTCTCCCAATTGACTAAATCAAGGCTTTATTATTCTTATTTTTTTTATCGTCAAAGGAATTGAGTCTTTGCCACAAACTCAAATTTGCTCACCTGTTTATCTTCATGCATCCTTGATGTTGTAACGTGTAACCCTTTGATATTTCAAATTTAAAGATTATTTGATCTAACAGAATTCACTGTTAGAAATATCTATGGTCAACGACAATGTAAAATTTGATTATAAAAGAATTCACTGTTATAAATATCGAAGATCAACGACAATGTAAAATTTGATTATAAAAGAATTCACTGTTATAAATATCGAAGATCAACGACAATGTGATATATGATTATAAAAGAATTCACTGTTTTAAATATCTAAGGTCTACGACAATGTAATATTTGATTATAAAAGAATTCACTGTTAGAAATATCTATTGTCTACGACAATGTGATATTTGAGTATAATAGAATTCACTGTTAGAAACATCGAAGATCAACGACATTGTGATATTTGATCATAATGGAATTCACTGTTAGAAATATCGAAGATCAAAGACAATGTGATATTTGATTTTAATAGAATTCCCTGTTAGAAATATCGAAGATCAACGACATTGTGATAAGAAAATCAGAGTTTGCGCCAAAGATCAACAAGTTTAATCCTCTGAAAAATTCTTTATTTTCACTAAACCATAATATACAGAACAATATAAAATTTAATGATTTTTTCTCGTAATTTTAGAAAATCAGTATTTTCTTGGTTCCGCATATTCTTGGGCTGAGGAGAGAGATACTCACTGCAGGCACACCATTCCGCGGGAAATTGTTTCTAAAATTACAGACAAAATTGTGGCAGGAGAAAGGTAACTCTTTTAGCTCATTTTGGCCAAAATTACTAACCCATTTTTCACTCAACAGTCGGATATTGAGTTACAATTGTTTCACACTCAACTCATGTACATTTGAATCTGACCTAGTCCTAGTTTGTACTGCCCCGCCAAGTACACCAACTTCACTATCAGACATACAGCAGGGGTCGATATAGTTGGCCTAGCTCTGTGTGCAGGGTTAGCCAGTGCAACAATCTTGATGCGGTCTGACTTTTATAGGCTGGATCTGGTTAAAATTACAATCATTAAAGCGGAAATTTAGCGTGTTCTCTTAGGAAAATTAAGAAAAATAATATCTGTAATAATTATTAAAAAATGCGTTGCCGTTACCTAATTTGTACTGCTGTTACAGGGATTTCCACCCTTCTGGGTAAAACAATAAACATTTGAATTAAAAGACAATTATTAAAGATGTATTTATAAAACCAAACACACAGTATATATACACCTATACCTCTGTATGTCTAGGTTTACTACCTATATAACAATACCTCTGTTTGCCTAGGTTTACTACCTATATATAACAATACCTCTGTATGCCTAGGTTTACTACCTATATATAACAATACCTCTGTATGCCTAGGTTTACTGCCTATATAACAATACCTCTGTATGCCAAGGTTTACTACCTATATAACTCATATAACAATACCTCTGTATGCCTAGGTTAACTACCTATATAACTCATATAACAATACCTCTGTAAGCCTAGGTTTACTGCCTATATATCAATACCTCTGTATGCCTAGGTTTACTGCCTATATAACAATACCACTGTATGCCTAGGTTTACTGCCCATATAACAATACCTCTGTATGCCTAGATTTACTGCCTATATATAACAATACCTCTGTAATTAATTAACCCTCCATTTGTTGAATGGGATGCCAGATTCAAAACGGAATTCTTTCTTCAATCAAGCATGAATGAGATATCCATTTTTTTTAAAAAACTGATTATTTTCATTTGAGGTTTCTCTGCCAAAGTAACCTTCGCACTTCTTACTTTAGAATCAACGGGGAAATTTTTGAAATTTTACACATGTCAAGCAAGGAAAAAAGATGTTTTATTTAGAGGACAATCTAAAGTTAATATGAAAGTTTTAATCTATGTTTGAAAATATGAAATAGACTTTTAAAATAACCTCATACTTGGTTCATATAAATATATCAGTATGATAGAAGAGAGAAAACTCTTACATTTTGTTAATTTCGAACTAATTGTTCGAATTTTCAAAAATTCTTTCGGTAATTCGACATAATGAACAAATATTAGGATTCACTAACAAAGTAGAAGTCTTTATTTTCAAACTTTAAAAACTGGCTTTTGCAATTATAAATATTATTAAGAAACATTTAGAGATTCTGAGATTGCTGTTGGGGCAACACAGATTGATTTTCAAGCTGAAGATCATTGCGGAGAACCTAGGTATTTCTAGCTTATTTTTGCAGAATTCAAATTGTATTTTAAAGTTTCTTGTAACTGTAACAGGCTTTATTTGTCTACTAAATTGGGAACCCAGTTCCGCCTGAAAACACAACTTTCTCTTAAAACACAACTTTCTCTAAAAGTCAACAAAATGAACTTTGACATTTTAAACCAAGCTAAGAACATTCCCATGATTCTAATGAATTCAATTTTTTTTAGATGGTTCATAAGCTATGATCGGACACAAAAACAAACAATTTAAAACTGTATATTTCGGTCTGGGTTTACCCTCGTCAGTTCTTGAGATTGTTTCTCTCATGAAGACAAACAAACAGAAATTACTTCTCCCATGCAGATAGAGTAATAACCTGTTTGTTTGTTTGGATGTCCGATCATAACACATAACCCCCCGGACCGATTTGCCTTAAATTTTGATGGGGGAACTCGGGAGAACCACGGCCGGAAATGTACTTAGTTTGGTTTTTTTTCTAGGGTCGTCTTTCATAGAGAAATATAGCTAAATCTTAATTTACTACCAATTGCGGGTAAACGGCTGTGTTCCCAGTATTTGTATAGAATCAGATAGAGAGTTGCGCAATAGGTGCACAAACGGAACACCAATTGCACAAATTCATTTTTTCGAATTTGTGTGTGATTTATGCGAAAGTAGCATTAAAGGAGGCAGGCCGCCCTCTCAAAGTTTTACAAAAGATTACATTTTTTCGTATTATTCAACTTTTTATGAAGTTTCTAATATTTTTTTAGTGATTTAAAATTATTTATAATTTTTTCTAGTTTGATTTGTTTTGTGAAAAAACAACATGAACAAGGAAAGAAAATATTCAACAGGATCAAATTGTTAATTTTTTTCGTTAATTTTTTTTCTCGAGAAACTCTAGGATGGCCATTTTAGGTAATACTTCAAAGAGAACGAGAATCTTCTTATATTATTCCAAGCCTGAAAAGTTAATGGTTAGAGTTAATGTTATTAAACCCTCAATGTTTCTATCTGCCAGACTTTCCTATACATTTTAGTAAAGGATATATAAGGTTTGATAGAATAAGCCGTAAAATCACCCAGAAGCTATTCTGCGCCTATACATTTTTCGAAATGTGTAATCTACAATCAAAATTGAACGAACCTTTTTTGCAGAGTACAGGTTCAGATGCTCATCCTACAGACTATTTGATGTTCTTCTCTCCCTGTAAAGCGGAAAGTCCAGATATGGTAAAAGAAATTTTTAATAAAGGATTTAGTTGTCAAGCGAACAGGTTTTTTATGCATCGTAATAATAACTAGCGGAATAGACCGGCGTTGCTCGTGGAATAAAAAATTGAATTTCTGAAGAAATAAAAAAACCAATTTTGAATTATTTTAGCTTTTCTTACACCAGGATACCCATGGGTTCCCAAAAAAAGATTCAGTCAATTTGGTCCAGTATATTTATAAATATATTTATTTGAGTGAAGAGCCAATATTATTTAGATTTACTAAATAATATATTTAATATCCTTTATCAGTAAACTATATACTAAGTGTACACTCAGGCTAATACACACGGAGAGGTAGCTAAGATCCAGCCCCACTGGTTGAGACCTACAAGAGGTTTTTACAGAAAATTAAAAAAAGGAAACTTGTAAGGTGTAAAAAAAACTGTTAAAGATGTATAAAAATATATAAACACCTTCAAATATGTTTTAGTTAACTGTACAGTATGTTTGCAATTGCAATCCTCCTGGATTTTCCATTCTGGAGGGATGATTTTGAAACATGGTTTTTAAAATCAATAAATTAAACTAATTGATTCTACAATGGCTTCCATCGATAATTTCTTTTGATAAATATGATCCTTTACCTGGCTGTCATTTGTTTACTGTAGAATTTTTGTTTCTTTTTACTTTTCGTTATTAAGAAATTTTTAAAAACCAATTTATCAATCAACCCTCCAGAATAGACAATTCAGCAGGATTTAAAAAATTGAATTTGCGTTCTTACTGAACCATTTGCCGTCGGTAAAAACGTTTCATAGACCTAAATGGATCCTGAAAAATGTCTCTTCAATTTACTGGACTCTCAACCTGTCTGTACTCTGTATACTATGTCCAGTCGGTCACTCCTTTTAAGGTTCCTGAAGGACTGATTGACCCTGAACCTGGGACACCTGCTGCAGCTGCAAAGAACTCCCTCCGCCACCCGATCTATGTTCATTCTAAACTAATGATTGTAGATGATGATTATATTATTCTTGGCTCTGCAAATATCAACCAAAGATCAATGTCGGGTTCCAGGTATTGAATTATAGAAATTTATTGTTTTTGTATTTTTAAAACGTAATTGTTAATTAACCCTCCATTTGTTGAATGGGATGCCAGATTCAAAACGGAATTCTTTTAAAATAACCTCATACTTGGTTCATATAAATATATCAGTATGATAGAAGAGAGAAAATGCTTACATTTTGTTAATGATTTCGAACTAATTGTTCGAATTTTCAAAAATTCTTTCGGTAATTCGACATAATGAACAAATATTAGGGATTCATCTAACAAAGTAGAAGTCTTTATTTTCAAACTTTAAAAACTGGCTTTTGCAATTATAAATATTATTAAGAAACATTTAGAGATTCTGAGATAGCTGTTGGGGCAACACAGATTGATTTTCAAGCTGAAGATCATTGCGGAGAACCTAGGTAACTTTTAAAATAACCTCATACTTGGTTCATATAAATATATCAGTATGATAGAAGAGAGAAAACTCTTACATTTTGTTAATTTCGAACTAATTGTTCGAATTTTCAAAAATTCTTTCGGTAATTCGACATAATGAACAAATATTAGGATTTAGTAGAAGTCTTTATTTTTTTTGAAAACTGGCTTTTGCAATTATAAATATTATTAAGAAACATTTAGAGATTCTGAGATAGCTGTTGGGGCAACACAGATTGATTTTCAAGCTGAAGATCATTGCGGAGAACCTAGGTAGTTCTAGCTGCAGATATAACTGCTAGAAAAAGGACTGTTATAAATGCAATTTCTAGATATTTATTGGTCTGTTTCTGTTTATTGAAGATAATGATGTACATGAAAAGCATTCTATTTAAAAGGTGTGTTGGGAGAAATTACATGACAATGTGTGGTTTGCGTTTTTGCTTACCATGTTTCAGTATGGTCTTATTTCATTTTTAATATCATGTTTCGAGCAACCATATCTGCAATGGTTTATTATTTATTTTAAATTAATCGCTGAAAGTTTTCTTAACAGAGGCGCTATCCATACATTCCGTCTTGCACTTTGGTCGGCTCACTTTGGAGGATTTGATCAACACTTCCTGAATCCAAGTTCTCAGGTATTAATAATCTTTAAATAGAGCTGGCTGGTTCAAATAACAGCGTCTCTCAATTGTTACACTTTATTGCCACCATTCAAAAGAATCCTTCTTTGTTCACGCTCACCCTCTCACGATCTATTGTTACCATAAAAAAGTGGAAATAAAGGAAATCTAAAGCCTTTAAACTAATGTGATTTAATCTACAGAGTATAGGAAAAAATGTATTTACAGAACTGTGGCTGTGGTTTTCCACGTGTTCAAACATGCATCCTAAGCTATATACAAAAGAGCTAGTACGTTGTCCTGTTTATAGGTCGGACTACTTTCAATCTGAGCTTAGCTCCGGGTCCGTATGAGGACTAAAGGGGTTACATCAATGGAACTATCCAATCTGAATTTAGCTCCGCATTCATATTCCGAGCTATTGAGCTTACATCGGTTACAGTATATACTCTCAAATGACTTTAGTGCCTGACCTGAACTTTTTATCTCTTAAGAAATTTAACCGCTGTACTTCATGTAAAAGAAAAAAACCTAATTCCACAAGAAAGTTAGACTGCCTTTTTGAATGAGAAATAATTATGAGAAAGGATGCTTTTGAACAGCGGAAATACAGTGTATATAGTGCTTTGGACAACTTGTTACTAAATGTGCCTGTAGCCTCACACTGAGATATAGACAGCTCTGAAACTGTTAAAGGATTTGGGTCTTTGCAACAAACTCAAAACTTTGAAACTTGATGGTATAAACCTTTGATATTTTAAACTTAGATTATTTAATCATTCCTCAATTCCTTTATAGACTTTAAAGTGTCGCAACGCCTTGGCCTTTTAGTTTGACCTTACCTTCTCACTTATACTTTTTTGTAGCCATAGAAAAGTACATTTTAAAAATGTGAT